GGCGGGGGTGCTGACACTTAGGGTTGTGACTCTGAACTAGATCGAGCGGCGGTCAAACTTCATGGAATCCTAACGGTCATCCTAGATCCAGCCTGAGACCGCTCAGGATGTAGCCCGTGCGCGAGGCTCCCTGCCTCCCAGGAGTGAGCCCTCACTCCCGGGAGGAGCCGAGACTTCCTATTCGGCGTGAATCTGCTGTGCCAGGCTCGCACAGTGCCAGTGCGTGCGTGTGGCTTTCTTCTTAGCCCAGTGACCGGAGTCGGAACTTGGTGAGCTTGTCGGAGAGGGGGGAGTACAGGTGAAGAACTAGGCTGGTGTGAAAGCACTCTGGAGTTAGGAAAACGGATGAAGGACCAGCTTTCTTCTTTTGTATCATTGTCCTCTCAATAAAATGTCTGTCTCCCCCCACCACCTCCCCTTTTCTTTTCCTCCTTATACCAGGAAACATCACATTTTCAACTTCAGGGAAACCAGACATCCAAAATGATAGAAAGCCACAGTTCCTGCTTCCCACAGAGAGCCAGCTGCCCGAGAGATTAATGGATCCCTGTGCCTTTCCGTGCCTTTATGTGTGCGTGTGTCAGTACATCGTTCTTACAAAGCAAATCGGAGCTCCTCCTGCTCATACTCTTTGTGAGCTGTGTTTGTCTTCCAGCCAGCTGTGTATCAGTACATGTGCAGTCAGATTGCTGCAGGAGCGGTTTATGGCTCCATTGGGTGCCATTGCCATCCTCAATTCGACACTGTCATCGACTATTGGCCAGCTTTTCAGAGTTTCCCAGAGTGCTGACGTGACATCCAAGACGTGTACTCTGCACTGACTGTGCCGCGTACGTTTTGAGAACTGGAACTAGTGAGCGGTGTTTCGTTATCTTTATTTTTCCCTGTGGGTGATGCTGAGGGGGATTTAGGGAGATGGTGGAGCAGAGACTGCAGGCTTCTAGAGGATGTTTCTGAACGCCCCTTTCCCCATGTTGCTGGGGGAGCGGGCTGGGGCATTGGACTTTTAGCCTCCAGAGGAAGACAGTGAAAAACGGAAGTTAAAACAAGGCGTGATCATTTGTGTGTGTGCTTTCCTTTTGGCAGGAAGGCCACAGCACAGGCTGTAACACTTACTGTCTTCCTGTTTTCAGACCCTGCTGTGTGCACATACTTTCTAGTCTCTGCCCCCTTTCACTGGGCCTTCTTAATTGCCAGAACAACCTTTGTGAAGTAGAGCTGTGATCCGGTTTCTCCTTTTCTCAACAACCGGTCCGGCCCCTCTTGCAGCGGGCCCAGGCTCTCTGTTGCCTCAGCCTCACTTGCACGGTCACCTCCATCCCACCGACCTGCAGCCTCTCCCGGGTTTCTCCTTATGTTTCGATTCATAGTGGTTTTCTGCTGGGAGCGTAAGCTTGAACCCAAACAGTTCCCCCATGACTTGCTTCACCCTTCTTCAGATACCACCTCCTTCAGGAAGGTGCTGGATTCAGCACCCCCACTCCTCAAATGTAAACATCTGGAGGTTGGCCTTTTCAGCGGCACCAGACTTTTGCCGAGTGGGGCTCTCGCCTTTGACAGGAGGGTTCCAGCGATTGTCGACTTGCCTCTTGCGATTGCCCACCCAGTCAGTGTAAGGTTCCTTGGGGTCGGGGCAATTGCCTTCATGTTGTACCCCTGCCACCACACGTATCTCCTTACAGGTAGTTTAAAGAAGCTCTCAGTAACTCTTTGTTAGATGAACAGCTCAAATCTGCAAACCAGATTGTGGTATTTGGAACCTTTACTTAGCAGTAGTGACACCTGGTATTTATTAACTTTTTGAATGTGGTCACACCTCATTTCAGTTTCATAATCACCCTTTGAGTGATTTGCTAACCAGCAAAGTTGAATCAAGTCCAGGGTACATTTGGGGGCAGAGTCCTGCCCTCCTAATGATCAGTTTTCTGTCCTTCCCACCAGAGGGTGCTATTGGGTAAGGTCTCTTCAGGAACAAACTCAACTCACTGCCATAGAGTAGATTCCAACTTTTAGCCACCATGCCGGCCAGAGCAGAACTGCCCCTGTGGGTTTCCAAGGCTGTAACTCTACAGGAGTAGCAGGTCTGGTCTTTCGCCCACAGAGTGGCTTCTGAGTGCGAACTGCTGACCTTGTGCTTAACAGCATGACACGTAACCAGTACACTAGCTCTTAATGGACTGTAGTGGGCTGCTCTTAAGAAGTCACTGGCTATTAAAAACCCAGGGCAACGGTTGCCGTGTATTGTCTATAGTTTTACATCAGGGATGTACAATAGCGAGATGAGTGTGGAGAGGTGCTGTCTACGTGCCTTAGGGAGCTCCATTTGGGGCAGGGGAGGGATTTGCTGTAGGTCCTGGAGGCAGAAAGGAAGATGATAGTAAAAGAGCATGACTAAAACAGCCCAGCTGCGGGCTAGCCTGTGCAAAGTCGTGAGCACCGGGACTGTAGGGGCACAAGGAAGAGGCTGTCGTTGAGTTCGTTGTTCAGGGGGCAGCTCATCAAAATGACCATCATGAGTCCTTGTACATTACAAATTACAGTGCTACATTGTATTTGGGGCGCTTTAGCCCAGAACCACGAAAGTAAGACATTTGTCACTTTTTCTTTTACTTAGTCTAATGCTTGGTCTTTAAAATTCATGTCATATGTTCAAAGTCACTTTTCCCAAAAGGGCAACTGAAATTGTTTTTCACAGGGTGCGCAGAGATCAGAGCAGCTCTTCAGGACTCTCTGACTCTAGGGGGACTCTGATTCCAGGGCGGGGCAGAAACATGCAGGGACAGTGTTCCCTCTTGGTCAAGTAGATAACAGAGGCCAATGTGACTTTGCCTTCGTTTCCTTTGAAGCCATCAAGCCAGTGTGCAGGTGGAGTCTCTGCAGGAGCAGCTGAACATGGTCTCCAAGCAGAGGGATGAAGTGGCCCTGCAGCTCTCTGTCTCCCAGGAGCAAGTGAAGCAGTACGCTCTGTCCCTGGCCAACCTGCAGATGGTGCTTGAGCATTTCCAGCAAGGTAAACAGCGAGCGGAGCTGGGAAGGTGTGCTATTTAGGAGTGCCTGGGGCAAGCTTTGAAAGGCACCTGTGGGAAGGGGGGAAAGGCAAGGAGCCATCGAGAAGTTCTTTTAGATTCCAGAACAGAAAACACCTGTAATACTTGGAACTTGGCTGTAGAAGCCTATTATTACAAGTGAATGGAAGAGTTGGGGAAGTAAATCAATAAAATGGCAAAGGGTGATCAAATGATAAGGAGGTGAATACCAGGGTGGGGGGATGGCACACTCGAAAAGATGATTTGTCTTGGGCAGATTGGTCGGAGGTTCAACCCTCCCTCACAGTGTGTATGCCTGATGGCTGGCCTTCGAAGTACGATGAACTACCTCTTAGCTGTGCCTCTCTTCTCTGAAGTTTAAGTGCATTTTCTAATCCAGGTGGAAAGCACCTTTCTGGTGTCGCAGTCCCAGCAAACAGCAGTTTCGCCCTGAGAACCAAATGTGTTTTTTTTTACTCTCTGTCTCCCACCCTCACAATTTCCCCCTCCAGAGCCTACTCTGGCCCAGGCAGTGTTGGCACAGAATTCATGGCTTGGAGGGGTGATGGGCGAGTGTGAGGCCTGCCTAACAAGACTGTAACTGTATGTTTTAGGCCTTCAGGCTTAGCTGGGTGGTTGAAATCTTGAGTTTTAAATGTAAGGATTCTCTTAGGTCTGCTCTCTGAAATGTCACAGTCACTGGAGTGGTATGTGTGCAAAGTAGCGTGGGGCCACAGAGCAGAGCCCTTTGCATGGTGTGGTGAAGGGAGCGGAGAATCAGGGAGGTGGGCAGGAGGGGGGTGAGATCAGGCAGAGGAAGCCGCCTGGTCTCCTTGCTTGCATTCCACTCAACATCACCATGAAATGGTGAATACTTTTTCTGTTAAAGAAACATTTGAGCTAAATGAAGTTTTATGGAGTGATGCACTTTGAAAAAGTCGTTTTCTCGATGAAAAAAAACATCGAAGTCTCTGGGTGGTTCATATCCACCGTCACGTTTTCAGCGAGACCCTGGGTTGTCCACAGAAGGGTGCCTGACGACGCTCCTGACCATCTGTGTGTGAGCTGTGCTGTGGCCGAAGCTACACCACGGTTCCTTTTAGACACTAGGAAGGGGCTTTGAAATGTGTGGGAAACTGCTGTTATTTCTTGATTCCATTTCTCCCACACATTTTTTTTAAAGCCCTCTCCTATTACAATGTTTTGTGACCCACATGCCTGTCGTTGGCGGGAGCTTCAGTCACTGTCTATGGCACTAATGCCCTTGCCCCTGCTGGCCGTGCCAGGAGGTCATGCTCTTTCCCGTGGAGCAGAGGAGGAGGACCAGGCCACCTCATGCAATTCCGAGCCATCTGTGAATGGCTGTGGATGTTGACGATACAAATAGAGACAGCAGCAGGGTTTACAACCGAATTACCATCGTGTGAATTAGTTATGGAGATAGCTACGGGAGCACTGGTAGTGCAGTGGTTACAGTGTCCAGCTGCTACCCGAGATGTCAGATGCTCAAACCCTGGTTCAAACCCACCTGCAGGCCTGCGGACGACAAAGGAGACAGTCAGCCTTTGAAACCGTGTGAACAGCTCTGCTCAGTCCTGCGGGCTCACTCATGAGGCAGAGTGGACTCTGGCAATGGTTTTGGGTTGGTTTCCGTTTTTATCCTCTTGTCAAAGCAGATGCTATTGGTGCAGCTGGCTGCCTGTATGTATGGCCCCAGAGCCACCCCGACCTGGTCCTGGTTCTGCCACCCGGCTGCTCAGCTCCCACCACCCCCACCCTCACACTCCTCCAGGCCTGGCAACCTGCTCACAGACTCAGTAGGCACCAGCTGCAGGGTGACCTCGTGCTCCTGTACCTGGCACTGGGTTTTGTTCGTTTCTTTAAGGGAAGACAGCATTTGAACTTTGTTGGTTGAATTATTAGGCGGGCAGGTGGGTTAGCATTCCAGTGAGAGCCCACAGTGCAAAAGACTGACGCACCCTTCCTCCCCCTTCAGAGGAGAAAGCTATGTACTCTGTGGAGCTCGAGAAGCAGAAGCAGCTTGTCACCGAGTGGAAGAAAAAGGCAGAGAAGGTGGAAGGAAAACTGGTCACATTACAGGTAGACGGCAACTCTTTTCTCATCATTGGGGCTATTCATGAAACAAGTTATGTGTGGGATCCTCCTGCAGGGGCAGACTTCCAGCAGATATAGAACAGTCGCTTCCTGCAGTGGACAGGCCCGCATGATCCTTGTTAGGTGCTGTCAAGCGGCTTCCGACTCAGCAACCCAGTGTCCAAAAGGAACACACCACCAGGTCCTGCACCATGTACACGTTTGTTCTTGACCAGAGTGGACACAGCCCCTCTGAGATGCCCACGAATACCACAAAGCTAACCATCCTGCCAGGGAGTCACTCCTGTCTCACAGCAATCCAGCATAACTGCCCCTGGGGGTGTCTGAAGCTGTAAACCTTTATGGGAGCTAACCATCCTGCCAGGGAGTCACTCCTGTCTCACAGCAATCCAGCATAACTGCCCCTGGGGGTGTCTGAAGCTGTAAACCTTTATGGGAGCAGAGAGCCTCCTCTTTCTCCCATGGAGCAGCTGGTAGGTTTGAACTGTTGACCTTGCAGTTAGCAGCCCCACTTGTAACCACTCCACCACCAGACATTGTAAATTTTTAAGCCCCCATGGGTATTTTAGAGATCTCTCTGAGACAAATGAAAATATTCTAAAATTTTCATTGTGTAATTTTTTTCAATAAAATATACTGCATACTATATTTTGCATAGATTAAAAGAATTTGTTTTATCTTATTAAATCTTTTTATGTTTGTATTTGCAGCATCAGCCTTTAAAATATTTTTTTGCCTTTGTTATTAAGTCTAGCATTCGTGGGGTGGAAAATAATCAAACTTTACTTACCTGTTGTAGCTGGTGATTAAGCTGTTCTGAGACACTGATAGCCTAAATAAGTGAAGACCTATTTCTCTCAGCATTTAAATTCCCTAATTTAACTTTCCTAAATTATATTGAGTGGGTATAAAACAGCTTTTAGATAATTTATATATAAACTTTCAGAATAGCAGTATAATAAATGCCCACTTCCTCATCACTGACATAAGACATGATGTTAGCTATAAGACCTCTGCGTCTTATTCTCTTCGTGCCACCTTCCATTTGCAGTGTGTGTGTGTGTGTGTGTGTGTGTGTTCTACACACACAGTAGAACATGCATTTTTTTATTGTCAGCAAAGCTCTTTTTTTTTTTTTTTTTTTAATTTTTTAAACATTTTATTAGGGGCTCATACAACTGTTATCCCAATCCATACACACTTCAATTGTGTAAAGCGTATTTGTACATCATTTCTCAAAACATTTTCTTTCCATTTAAACCCCCGACATTAGGTCCTCATTTTTCCCCTCCCTCCCCGCTCCCCTCTCCCACATGAGCCCTTGATAGTTTATAAATGGGTATTTTGTCATATCTTGCCCTGTCCGACTTCTCCCTTCACCCACTTTTCGGTTGTCTGTCCCCCAGGGAGGAGGTCACACACAGTTCCATGTAATCGGTTCCCTCTAGAACATGCATGTTATGTATGTGTGTAGTAGATAAATTTTATAAGGCTGGTGTGTTAGCCCGGTAGACTAGAGAAACAAATCCAGAGACACTCATGTATGTAAGAGAGAGTGTTATATCAAAGAGTACTTTTGTAGTAAGAAAACATCCCAGCCCAGGCCAGATCAAGTCCATGAGTCTGATATTAGTCCATATGTCCAATGCCAGTCCATAAATTCCTCTTCAGACTCACGCAACACATGCAATGGAAGATCACGCAGGAAGATCACAGCCCAGTGGGTGGAAAGTCTTGTGGATCCAGTGGCGGTGGAAGCATCTCAGCTCTGGCATGGGTCTCCACGTGGCTCCTCCAGCTCTAGGACTCTGGCTCCATCAGCATAGCTCCATGTGGCTTATCAGCAGGAAGACAAAGCAGTGAGAGTTTGTCCCGCCTCTCAGGATTGGAGTTCCCAGAATCCTCAGGAGAAAGTCGGGCCCATACAGAGGCCTCATTGGCTATGACCTGATTGACAGGCTAGACTCCACCCCTTCGCTCAAGTTACCAGGAGATTATGTAGCTGCCACAGCTGGGTAAGGCACCCAACTGAAAGTTAATGTCATTTAAATGATAAGCAATGGAAAGCGCCTGGATTCACCTTATGAAACTCATGAACTCTTAAAACTGGATAAAGATGTTAAAATCATATCATTGAGAAAATGGCCACATCTAACCTCCTCTGGCTACATAAGGGTGAAGGAGAATCCATCTCCACACCAGCCCACGACAGGCTGTCAAACGAGCAGAGGTCAGACCTGCCCCCATCCTCCTCCCTTCCTATTCGCACACGGCACTCTCCTTTCCTGCCGAGCTCGATGGCGCATAGCAGTGGCCACGCAACTCACAGCAGTACTCAAAATGTTGAGGGTTCACTGGGGAAGTCAACAGGTTACCAAAAGCCAGGACCCGAAAACATTAAGGATGTAGTCATTGGTCCACAGCAATGCCTGTAGCCCGCCTCCTCTGCCTCAGCCTCATTGTCTTAGTGCTACTCCTGTGCTCTGTCTCAAAGTTCCCTAGCTTTGGCCTCGGGTCTCCATGTGCAGTGGCCTCAGCTGCCTTCAGCACTTTTAGGTGGGCTTGCTGAGAGAATGAGCTGGTGGCTGTTCTTCCTTGATGGTCCCAAGAATTCTTCCTGCATCTGAGATGGCTGTCTTACACGCAGAGGCACAACCACCAAAGCTGTGCTGTTACCTCTATTACTGTTTCACACACCTATTTGCTTAGTACCACAGTCATGTGTTGAGAGTTAGAGACACATGTATGGAAGAACCTTAGCAAGAAATTTCACTTCACCCCAATAATATATGTCATTGCATATATGTTATCTGTATGTTATATTTGATATGTTGTTAAGATGCCAATGAGTCCGTTCCAACTCAGTGTGACCCTGTGTACAATAGAAGGGACACTGCCCAGTCCTGCGCCATCCTCACTACTGCTATGTCCGAGCCCGTTGCTGCAGCCAGCATGTCACTCTCTCGTCAAGGGCCTTCCTCTTTTTCTCTCCCTCCACTCTACGAGCAGATGGCCTTCTCCAAGGACTGGTCACCCCGGACAACATTTCCAGAAGATGCGAGACAGAGCCAGACAGAGCCACACGACCCTTGCTTCCAAGGAGCATTCTGGCTGTACTTCTTCCAAGACAGATTTGTTTGTGCTTTTGGCAGTCCCTGGTCCTCAGTGTTCTTTGCCAGCATCTTAATTCAAATTCATTCCTTTCCTCAGTCTTCCTTATTCAGTGTCCGACTTTCACAAGCACATGAGGCAGTTGAGAACACCATGGCTCAGGCGCATCGTGTTCCTCAAAGTAACATCTTGCTTTTCTACACTCCAAAGAGGTCTTGTGCAACAGATTTACTGACTGCAACGGGTCATTTGATCTCATTTCCCTGAATAAAGATGAAATCCTTGGCAAATTCATTCTTTTCTCCATTACCATGATGTTGCTTACCTGGTGGTCTGGCCGGGAGGCTCTCTGTTTTCTTTACATTGAGTTGCAATCCATACTGAAGGCTGCAAACCTTGATCGTCCTGTCCTCGGCAAGGGCTTCACGTCCTTCACTTTCAGCAAGCCAGGTTGTGTCATCTGCACGTCACAGGTCGTTCATCGCATCACAGGTTGTTAATAGGTCTTCCTCCACTCCTGCTGCTGCGTTCTTCTTCATAGAATGCAGCTTTTCTGGCATGCGGTTGAACAAGTAGGGTGAGAGATTTAGCCCTACACATCCCTTTCCTTGTGTTTAGCCATACACTATTCCCTTGTTCTGTTCACACAACTGCTTCTTGATCCATTTACAGGTTCCACATGAGCACGATGTTGTGTTCTGGAATTCCCATTCTTCTCAAGCCTAGCCGCAGTTTGTTGTGATCTGCACAGTCGAATGCTCCGGCATACTAAATAAAGCACAAGTAGACAGCCTTCAGGTCTTGTCTGCTTTCACCAAGATCCATCTGCCACCAGCACTGGTATCACTAGTTTCATGTCCTTGTCTGAATCTGGCCTGACCTTCTGGCAATTACCTGTCAGTGTACTGCTGTGACCATTATTGGATGATCTTCAGCAAAATGTTACTTGCATTTGGTATTGATAATATTGTTCTTTAATTTGAGATTTCTGTTGAGTCACCTTTCTTTGGAAAGGATACAATTATGGATCTCTTCCAGTCAGTTGGCCGAGTAGCTGCCTTCCACATTTCTTTACATAAATGACTGTGTGCTTCCAGTTCTTATCCGCCCGTGGAAACATGTCGATTGATACTTCATCAATCCCTAGAGCCGTGTTGTGGGCTAATGTTTTCAGGTCAGGTTGAATTTCTTTCTTCGGGTACCATTGCTTCTTGTCATGTGCTACATCTTGACCTGGGTGAATGTCAACTTGTTCTTTTTGGTACAGTGACTCTGTATATTCGTTTCATCTTCTCTTGATGTTTTCTGCATCTTTCAAGATTTTGCCCACAGAGTCTTTCAGGATTGCAGCTCAAGGCTTGAATTTTTCCCTTAATTTTAGTTTAAGATAAACTGAGCATATTTTTCCGTTTTTGGTTTTCTAACTCTGGGTCTTGGCACATTTAATTATAATACTTTTGTCTTCTCGCGCTGCCCTTTGGAATTTTGTATTCACCCCTTTGACTGCATCATTTCTTCCATTTGCTGTAGCTGCTCAGTATAAGAGCAAGTTTCAGAGTCTCTTCTGACATCCACTTTGAACTTCCCTTTCATTCCTATCTTTTTAATGGCCTTTTGCTTTCTTTGTGAATGATGGTCTTGATGTCCTGTCACAACACAGCAGGTCTTCTGTCATTACCGTTCAGTGCATCAAACCTGTTCTCGAGATGTTCTCGGAACTCATGTGGGACAGACTCAAGGTGGTATTTTGGCTCTCTTGGACTTCTAGTCATCTCCAGCTTCAACCTGACTTTATAGTTCAGCAATTGACAGTCTGTCTCACAGTTGACCTCTGGCCTGGTTTAGCTGCTAATATTGAGTTTGTCATGTCTTTCCACAGATGTAGTCAATTTAATTTCTGTGTATTCCTTCAAGAGAAGTCCATGAAGATAGTCGCTTTTTGGGTTGCTGAAGAAAGGAGTTTGCTATGGTCTTACAAAATTTGGTCTAATAAAACTCCAGCCATGCTATCTCCAGCTTCATTTCTATCACCAAAATCATATTTTCACCTACTGTTCCTGCCTCTTGGTCTCCAGCTTTCACATTCCACTCACCCATAGCCATGAATGCACCTTGATTGCATGTTTTGATCAACTGCAGACTGAAGATGTTGGTAGCATTCAGTTTCTTCATCACTAGCTTTAGTGGTTGGTATATAAATTTGAATAGTAGTTGTATTGATTGGATTTCCTTGTATGCAAGTAGATATTAACCTATCACAGAAAGCATTGTATGTCAAGATAGATTTTGAGATTTCTTTTCGAGGAGAATGCAACCCATTTATCTGAAATCTGTCATTTCTGGCATAGTAAACCCTATGATTTTCTGATTCAAAATGGCCAATACCAGTCCATTTCAGGTCACAGATACCTAGAATGTTGAACTTTATATGCATTCCATTTCATCTTCTAAACTTGCAATTTTCCTAGATTCATAAACTCCAAGTTCAGATTGTTAATTGATATTTGCAACTGTTTGTTCTTATTTTGAGTTATGGCCCATTAACAAATGAAAGTCTTTTTTTTTTTCATAAGACAGCCATGTTTACAGGTTGGATGAAACTCAGTGTCTCCCCCCCCAAAACAAAAAAAAACCCACCCAACTATGGTTCTCCGTCACTCCAGGTCTGGCACTGAACCCACCCTGTGTTATAATACTCAACATTTAAGATCAAAGGGCATCACTTGCCTAAGGATAAAGTAGAGATGGTTAGGAAAGGCGGAGGGATGGAAACAGGAAACACTGAGAGTCAGTGTGATAAGCGGGTGCATTGAGGGGATTGACCCGATGAATGGAGACCTTTGTATGCATTGTTGAACGTGATGCTGATGATCTGCTTTGTAAAGCTTCACCCAGTTCACAATGAAAGGTTTTTAAGAAAGGAGCTACATTCTTCACTATGGTTTATACCACAGTCTTAAACCCAAATCTAAACCCAACCGACAGCCATCAAGTTGGTATTTTATCTTAATGACCTTTTTATAGGGCTTCTGAGACTGTCAATCTGTACAGGAGCAAACAGCCTCATCTTTTTTTTTTTTTTTCAAAGCGAGGTTTGATTTTTTAAAATTATTTTATTGGGAGCTCTTAGAACTCTTATCATAATCCATACCTACATCCATTGTGTCACGCACAGCAAAGAGAGTCTTAAACGACTCACTTCCACAGGCTCTACTCCATCCGCTTCACTGGTCAACTCTACTTGGAGACAGCAGCTTCTCCCCGTCGGAATCTGAGTGCCCTCTGCCCCCCAGGCTCATCTTCTGGCAGTCTGGGTGATGAGTTCTGCCGCTCGTCACGGGTTTCCAGTATCTGACAGCAGTTTGACGCCGTGTGGGTAGGCTTCAAAGGGTTGAGAGGTTTTCAGAGGCTGATTGCTCAGAAGTGGGTAGCGGATTCCTTCATTGTGGTCTGTTCTTTGTCTCTAAGCTCTGCGGAACCTTGTTCACTTTGAATACCCTGCTGGTATTTGAAGCACAAGTGACGTAGCGTTCAGCATCCCAGCAACACACAAGCCACCAAAGTCCGACTAACTGACAGACAAGTGGTCATCTACATGATACAGTAAATATAAAATATATGTGATTTCTATTACATGCGGTTTTCCATATCCTTTTCAATAAACTTCTCTCCCTTTCAGGAACGTTTGGATGAAGCAAATGCTGCACTGGATTCCGCATCAAGGCTCACAGAACAGTTGGATCTAAAGGAAGAGCAAATTGAAGAACTTAAAAAACAAAGTAGGTTTTTCCTTTTCTGTAAGGCCAGTATTGGAATCCACTCTCCCATAGCTGAGTTGCTTCCGTTTGCTACGGATGGAGCATACGAGTCAGGAAGCCCCTGGCCCTGGCCGCCCACATGGGCTTCCAGGAGATTGAGGCAATCCCTCTGGAGGCCACTGACTAATCTGACGTTTTATGGTCATGATTTTCCCCCTATCAATCCATGTCTGCCTTCCTTAAAGCCGTGGGTGAGGGCCTTGTGGAGGAGGAAGAGAAGAATTGGAGAGAGCGTTGCACAAGGTGCTTGTGTGCAGGCCCTCCTCATTTTGTGCTTTGATGCTTACAAGTGAGTTCACAAGTCCCTTGGTTCCCTAAGGTCAGGGCTGTTCGATGGGCTTCAGGTCATCTGGTGGTGGTTCACAGTGCATTCTTGACTGACCGCTGGCTAGGGTGGCAGGCCCACCATTTAACTTCTGATTCAGGAGTCACTGGGAAGCGGTAACTATTCCAGGACTGTAGTTAGTCGGTAACGATTCAGAGTCAGCAGAAAGGTGCTAGGGGAGCCTAAAACCGCCCAGATTTGAGGTGTCTGGGTTAGAAACACCATCACCAAGACACAGAACTAAGGAATAGCAAATAAGTGCTCGACTGCTAACCAAAAGGTTGGCGGTTCAAACCCATGGGCAAAGGCCTGGTGATCTGTTTTGTGAAAATGCCAGCCAGGGAAGGCCTATGCTCCAGTGCTCATCTTGCGACCTGAGAGCAGACGCTGAGGAGACAGTGATGTGCGAGGTGTTTGTTGTGCATGTTGTGCACAGTGAGGTCTGCACTCTGCGCTTCATCTGTTCTTCATAAGCAGCTCTGAAGAAGGCAGCATCAGTGGGCTTTTATGTAGTCAAGCAACTGAGGTTGGAACCACCCCATGACCAACGCTCATGATCTTTACTTCACCGAATTGCTTCCTCTTTGGAAAATGGTTTTTATCCTCTGACTTGTATTTTGTTCTGTGCGTCTTCATCACCGTTGAAGTCAGGCAGGGTCTTCTGTGTTGTGCACAAAGTGTTGCAATCGTTGTTCTTACATCAAGGCCATGTGAGGTTGAAGGCCAGTGCAATGACAGCCTTTATCTGGGAATGTAGGAGACAGGCCGAGGAGACCCACTGGGGACTGCCTGTGTATCCAGTGGTCAGCTGAACGGTCAATGTCTTTAGGCTGGGTGTAGATGATGGCGGCAAAAAGACAACACTGTAGTCTGTGACAGTGCTTTCAAATCAAGGCTGCCCGTAGTGGGGGGTGCCTCCCTCTGCAGGGTGCTGGAGGTCAAGAGGGTTGCAGAGGCAGGAAGTACCCCAGATTGCCAGAAGAACCACAGGCCTGTCTTGGAAGAAGTGTAGCCAGGACACTCCTGAAAGGCAAGGACGGCGAGACTTGGTCTCATGAACTTTGGACATGTGACCAGGAGAGAGCAGTCCCTGGAGAAGGCCATCGTGCTTGGTCGGGGAGGGGGGCGGGGGCAGGATGAAGGCAGAAGGCCCTCGATGAGATGACTTGACAGTGGCTGCAGCGGTGGGCTCGGATAGGGACAGTGGTGAGGATGGTGCAGGAGCGGGCCCAGAACCAACTCACCAGCACTGAACCACAGAATGCCTTGCCTGAGCGATGGGCGGTAGTACAAGTCTTTCATTACCAGGATGCCGGGGAGGAATTGCTTTTCTGTAAAGGGGGCAGTAGCCCAGGTAGGTGTGGGCACTTATGCTTTCAGTCATACAGATACCTGCAGACCCACATCCCTTTTAGATACCGCCCTGCCTCATTCGCAATAAATTATCATAAGACTAAGAAAAAACGATCTCGTATTTCAGTCGATCAATACTATTAGAGTACCTGCCTTAGAGTTAGTCTCTCTTCAGATACCTATGTAAATCCTGTACAGTAAAGTATTTTTGGTTTAAAAAAATTTTTTATATGCACATCAGACATTACAATTAGTATTAATAGAAACATTAGACTCCTTATACAGTCAATATTAGCTAAGAAAATGTCTTAATTATGCTTACATGGCTGGTATTTGAAAGGGCAGGCAGGGGGCCAGCTTTGTACAGACAGGAAGGGGGAGTAAAGAGACGCTGGGTTCTGGTGTGTTTCTAAGTCATTCTTGGCATTTAGAGCTCTTCCTAACAGGCTGTTTTCTTATATTACCTAAGTGCTTAATATCGCATTTACATCTCTAAACACAAAGGCCATGTTACTTTCTCAAAGCCACCTCATTCTTCTGACTTGATAATATAAATGAAACTTTGATTAGCTTGGTTGATCTTAAAAAAAAATTCACTGTATATTTTCTTTCATAGATCATTAAATACTTTAAATGTTGATGGATGTTGTAATACTGTAACTTTATTTTTAACACAAAACTTGGCCAGACAGCAAAAAAAAATTGCCAGAAGAAATAATTTTGAAAAAGACAGATTGGCTTTTGCTGCGAGAAAGCACATAGCGATTTGAATTGTAGGGGCAAACTATTGTTTTGTTTCAAAGCATCTGTAGACCGATGATTAGTTGATCTACAGTTTCACCATTTGAACAATATTAGGAAATGTACTTTAAACAGTGATATTTTATTCTATTCAAAGAGGTGGACTATATGACCTTGCCACCACAGCTGAGATCATTCTGTCTGGGTCGGACGTATGCAGAGAGAGCTGGTTCTTGGAACACCAGTGCTAAAGCAGTGGATGGTTGACAACGTCAAGCATTCTCAGAGTTCATCTTGTTAGCAATGTGCACAGGCAACTGTGCTTATGGATGGGGGATTGTCTGCCAGCATTGTATGGAAAAGTTTGGCCATGCTGGCACTGAGCAGTCGTGATAGCTCACTGTTTGGTTTTACCCAGATTCTGTGCAAGATCCTAGATATTTTAGCTAAGGTAATAATAACCTGTAGCATAGATCTGCCGTGAGGTCCGTCGGTCACTAGACAGTGCAAGTGTAGGGTTCCGTTATGAGTCAGGGCATTGCATGGAGGGAATGAGCCTTATACTCCCGAAGTAGCATCTGTTGTGAGTGTGCGCCTGTGCACGCAGGAGAGAGGAAGGGAGGGAAAAAAAATCAAGTAGCCACCTTTGGGTAAGTCAGTGAGTGCTCAGCTATTTGTACCACTCAAGGACTCCTATAAATACAGCTGTTATTGTTAGGTGCCACGGAGTTGGTTCTGACTCACAGCATCCCTGTGGACAGCAGAAAGACACCCTACCTGATCTTTGCCCTTCTCACCACTGCTGGGTGAGCCCTGCCATTCCATCTCACTGAGACGCCTTCTTGTTGACCGCCCCACTGCTTTACTTAGGGACTGGCTCCCCTGGATAACAAGTCCAAAGGACATGAGACGAAGTCTCCTCACCCTCTCATCTTCTTACCCTCTCTTCCAGGGCGCAGTCCGCTGTCCTTACTCCCACACAGATTGTTCGTGGTGCAGTTGGTACTGATGCATTTTGCCAACACCGTCATTCAAATGCATCAGTTCTTCTCTGGTCTTCCTTATTCACTGTCCAGCTTCTGCATGCATATGAGGTGATTGAAAAACCCTGGCTTGGGTCGGCCAAGCCTCAGTCCTCAAAATGACACCTTTGTTCTATTTAGAAGGAGACCTTTTGCAGCAGATTTGCCCAATGCAATATGCTGTTTGAATTTCATGAGCATTCATTATGGATCTAGTAAAACACTATCGTTGAAAACTGCAGTTCTCCATTTATCATGCTGCTGTTCATTAGTCCAGTTGTAATTTTGATTGCTTTACATTGAGCTGAGTTGATCATAAAACTGTCCTCTTTGATCTTCGTCAGCAAGTACTTCAAGTCCTCTTCACTTTCGGCAAGCACGGTTGTGTGGTCTGTGTATCACAGGTTGTCAGCGGGCTTGCCGCCAACCCTGACACCATGTTCTTCATGTGGGCCAGCTCCTCAGATTCCTTGCTCAGCACACAAATCGCATAAGTGTGGGGAAAGGCTACAACCCTGGTGAGCACCTTTCCTGGGTCGAAACCCTTGGTTGTCCTGTTCTGCTTGAACGACTATCTCTTGGTCTGTGTACAGGTTCCACCTGGGCACAGGGAGAAGGGCTGCAGTTTCTGTTCTTGGCAAGGTGGCCCATTGTTTCTTACAGTCCGCACAGTTGAAGCCTGAATGCCTTTGTTTGGTCAATAAAACACAAGTAAACGTTTTTTGATGGTCTCTCCTTTCAGCCAACGTCCATCTGATGTTAGCATTCTGTCATCTTTTGAATCTAAGGTGAATTTCTGGCTGCTCCCTCTCAATGTGCTACTGCAACCATTTTTTAATTACCTTCAGCCAAATTTTACTTGCATGTGATATTAGTGATGCCGCCCAGTTACTGCTCTGCACTCTGTGAGGTCACTGTTCTGTAGTGGGCGTGGATGTGGATTTCTTCCAGATGATTGGCCAGGTAGCATCTTACAGACTTCCCACTGCAGATGAGAGCGTGCTTTCAGTGTTGTGCCAACTTGTTGAGACAGTTCCAGTGGTGTTTCATCAATTTCTGGCACTCGGTTTTTGGCCAAGACCTTCAATGAATTTCTTTTTTTTTTTTTTAATCATTTTACTGGGGCCTGTTACAGCTCTTATCACCATACTTAACATCCATCCATTGTGTCAAGCACATTTGTACATATGTTGCCATCATCATTTTCAAAACATTTTCTTTTTACTTGAGCCCTTGATGTCCGTTCCTCATTTCCCCCTCCCCAACCTGCCCTCCCTCATGAACGCCTGATAATTTATAAATTCCCCCCCCATGTGAATTTCTTCTTTCAATACTGTGGTAGTTACATAATCTGTTGTAAAACTCTTTTCTGATACACAATGAGTGTCTGTGAACTTGTTTCTCTAGTCCACCCACACTAACACAGATGCCATTGAGTCTTGGTCCAGTGCTGCCCTTGAAAGGGTTGAATGTCTACCGGTTCTTTTTGATACAATCACTGTGGATTCCTCCCATGTTTTGATGCTTCTGAATTCTATAGGTGACTGTAGACTCCTTCAGTAATGTAACCGGGACTTGAACTTTTCTTCAGTTCCCTCAGCTTGAGGAACGCCAGGGGGTTCTTTTCTTTTGGTTTTCTAGTTCCCTCCGGTCCTTGCACGGTTCATGATAATGGTTGGTCTTCTCTAGCTGCCGTTCTGTTCGGCTCTTTACCTCATCCTTTCTTCCATTTGCTTTAGCTCCTCTGTGTTCAAGAGCAAGGCCCAGAGTCTCTTCTGACACCTATATTAGGCTTTAAAAAAAAAAAACAAAAGCTTTTTTTCCGCCCGCTCCCCCCTCCCCCCGAGCGCCGCTCCGGCCGCACCGCGCTCGCTCAGAGCTCCGGGCTCCTCCTAAGCTAGCGCTGCCGCCGTCTCCCTTTAGCCGCCATCATGATCATCTACCGGGACCTCATCAGCCATGATGAGATGTTCTCCGACATCTACAAGATCCGGGAGATCGCAGACGGGCTGTGCCTGGAAGTGGAGGGGAAGATGGTCAGTAGGACCGAAGGTAACATCGATGACTCCCTGATTGGTGGTAACGCCTCAGCTGAAGGCCCCGATGGCGATGCAGCAGAAAACACCGTGGTCACTGGTGTTGATATTGTCATGAACCATCACTTGCAGGAAACCAGCTTCACAAAAGAAGCCTACAAGAAGTACATCAAAGACTACATGAAATCAATCAAAGGCAAACTTGAAGAACAGAAACCAGAAAGAGTAAAGCCTTTTATGACAGGGGCTGCAGAACAAATCAAGAACATCCTTGCAAATTTCAAAAACTACCAGTTCTTCATTGGTGAGAACATGAATCCAGATGGCATGGTTGCGCTGCTGGACTACCGTGAAGATGGTGTGACCCCATATATGATCTTCTTTAAGGATGGCTTAGAGATGGAAAAATGTTAACACAGTGGGCAACTCACGACCAATGCCTCTCAACCTAACCGGCTGCTGTTCATCCACACGACACCAGGACTTAGACAAACGGAACTGATGTCATTGTGAGCTCTTCATTTACTTTTGACCTTGATTTGTTTGGAGCGGAGGCTTTTTTTTTTTTTTTTAAAGGAAAAAAACCATGTCGTGTAGGTTGTCTAAAAATAAAATACATTTAAACTCACTTGAGAATGCCTCCTGGTTGACTATCAGTAAACTGACTTCACCTTGTAGCGCTCCTGGAGAAGCCAGAGCCACATATAGACCGGCCGCTGCAGTGTGAGGCTGTCTCTAGAGGCCTGCTACAGCCAAACTGCAGGGATCCGAATAGAGACAAGAATCCAAAGGCTTAATTTTGAGTTTAAATAAAGGGAGTGACCATGTTTTTAGCGGTGCCAGCATCTGAAGTGGATCCTTAAGCATTTCATCACCTAAAAATGGAAGAGATTATCAAAAGAATAAAGAGACTAATACAATTGGAAAAAAAAAACAAAAACAAAACTTCTTGACTGTCATCCCACAACCTCTCTGGTACTATAGATATTCCTAGCCCTACAATATTTTCATGGATAAAATGTTGGCTGGGGGAAGAATTACTGCTCTTACTGTTCATTTCTTTACAACACTCGATCTGAACGTGTTCATTTCTAGTTCGTAAGACTGACTTCACATGCCATCCTACACTGGGTAGTTTTTAAATCTCAAGTTACAGCGGCCCTCTAGGAAGCAGCTAGAAGTACATCTTGAGTCAGATCTTCTCTGTTGATCAGAATTTCTCTGGAATTGGCCCCAGGAGAAACTACACCGTGAAGCCCCTGGCTGGTGCAATTAACACACTTGCCTGCCTACGGAAAAGTGGGTGGTTCATATCCACCCAGATGTGCCTTGAAAGAAGGGCCTGGTGATGTACTTCTGAAAAATCAGTCACTAGCCACCCTGTGGGGCACCGGTCTGCTCTGGCACACACAGGCTTGCCATGGGATGTCATGGGCCCCATGGCCCTGGGATGTCACCAGGCTACAGGCGAACCATTAAAAGAGGCTGGTGCTCCATTTATGGTCAGATGCGTCATTTCCCTACATTTTACATGCATGCATCTGACCCTGCCTCCTTGCCCACCACTCGAGAGAAAATGCAGCCCAAATGGAAATGAGAGGATAAAGTTGAAGTAGGAAGTATAGTATAATTTGTTTTGATAACTGTTATTGACATGGTGCTGAATTTTCTAGTATGCAAAGAAAAATCCATTTTCCACAAGCAATCCCAGTCTGGATCTTCCCGGCGTCGAGAATTTCTTTGGCTCCGTCTGCCGCCTCATTACCCGAGCTTCAGGGGCCTCGGTACTTGTTTCTTTTTTCTCTAGGAAGATTCGGTGACTGTAGCTTTTCAAGTCTTTGCTGAGTTGAGAATGGAGAAGTTCCCTATTTTGAAAAGAAAATCTAAAAGAATGCGTGAAATGAGTCCCCGTGCAAACTAATCTGCAGCATGAAATGTGAACTCCATTCCGAACTGCAGATACGGAAGAGGTCTAGCATGTTGTTCATGGAACGCCCTCCTGGCGCTGGGTGGTAGAGTTTTTATTTTAAATAAAGACATTCCGTTTTCCTGGACGTGATTTATACAAGAAAACATATAATGTCCTGTTGAACACAGGCCAAATACATTCCCAGACGCTTTGTTACCCAAACCTTTTGAGGGATTTCTTCAGAAATGTTTCTGGCAGAAGTGGTGATTTTGGAGGAAACATATAAGAAGTACCAGATGCAGTTTTCCGAATTGCCATAAATGGTTAAAAACTTACTTTGTGATGATATAAACATCTGGGTATGCTAGACAATGCCAAGGTTTGAGTTCAGAAGAACTTTTTTGTATCAGTGAGGTAAGTAATCAAATGCTTTCAGTGTAATGGTTGTGCTCTAAAAGGTATTTCTAACGAATGCCGAAATGGAGCTCTGTTTTAGGGGCACCATGCACCTTTTAAAGGGAAAGTAAATTGTGCAAAAAGAACATCGTGAGCTCATAGATGATGTGTAGGCTTCCCGTTTCTTTATGTATGACTGTGTAATTGAGAACATAGCCATTTATTGTTGCTTTCCTGCATTCGGTTCGTCCCAGATGTTCTCCCTTGTTGGGGGTGAGGGTGGGCTGGGGAAACGCAGGCACTTACTGTGTGTCTGCGCTGCTAATCATTCATCACCCAGTCCACCCTGACTCCTGGCGAGCCCGTGGGCGCGCGTGGCAGAGAAGACTTGTGCTCCTGAGGGTTTTCGCAGCTGGTCTTTGCAGTGGTCCATCGCTAGGCCTGTCTTCTGAGGGGTCTGCGGGCAGACTCAGACCTCTAGCCTTTCAGCTCACAGCTACGTGTCTTAAGTGTTACACCAACCAGGGACTCCATCTGCTGTGGACCATGCACTGAAATAGGTTCTGGGTCTACCAAGTCCAGGTGTTGCCTTCAGGAGGTTTAGAGTTCAAAGGGAAGGAGAAAGACATGATCAAATACAAGGGGCCATCAAAAAGTTCGTGGGGAAAGAAATCCATTTTTTTCTTTTTTTTAAATCATTTTATTGGGGGCTCGTACAACTCTTATCACAATCCATCCATCCATGGTGTCAAGTACATTTGGACATTTGTTGCCCTCATCATTCTCAAAACATTTTTTTCTACTTGAGCCCTTGGTATCAGCTCCTCAATTTTTCCCCTCCCTCTTTCATGAACCCTTGCTAATTTATAAATTATTATTATTTTGTCATGCCTTATACTGTCCGGTGTCTCTCTTCTGTTGTCCTTCCCCCAGGGAGGATCCTTGCGATCGGTTTCCCCTCTCTACCACCTTCCCCTTCTCCTCCTGGTATCTCGGCTCACATTATTGGCCCTGAGGGACTTATCTGTCCTGGATCCCCTGTGTTTCCAGCTCTTATCTGTACCAGTGTACATCCTCTGGTCTAGAATCCATTTTCTTTTCATTCCATTTTTCCATGAACTTTTTAAAGCCACCCCCCCAACCCCTGTGTATCTGTAGTGAATTGTTTTGCCTGGAAGGAATGGACTTGGTGATGGTGTGCAGTGTCCTTGGCAGTGGTCACTGGTGGTGGTTGAGCAAGGAGAATGGAAAAGGCTGGTGAAGGGTGCTGAGTGGACATCCCCCTGCGCCATCCTCATGATTGGTCCCATGCCTGCGCCCATTGTGCCAGCCACTGTGGCAGTCCATCCTGTTGAGGGCCCTTCTGCTTTACTGAGATACGGGAGTAGAGGCGAGCATTCGCCTCTTGGAGAAGTTCCCATGTGGCATTATCTGCAACTGCCTGTGGAGCACCTTGACTGGTAATGATTGAAGGATGGGGGTGGGGGTTGGTGTAGCATGCTGGGAAGGCAGGGTTAGAAGTAGGTTGCTTTGAGGGTAACAAATGCATTGCCAGCTGGGGCCACAGTGGCAATACAACAACGCACTGGTAGCGTTTCTCCTGCTAGTAGCCAGCGTCGCTGCTGTTGTGCACGGCAGAGCACTGGATCATCAGCTCCAGGCAGGAATGCAAGCCCGGTGCTGCCAGATTTTCAGATCTTCCCGGACATGCTGGAAATCTGGATTTTTCTGTCAAAGATTCCAGTTTTTCAATGAGACACTTCATTTACATTTTTGTCAAAACCTTGTGTGGGCTGAATAAAACACTTCTTGGGGCCAGATGTAGTCTGTGGTGATTCGCAGTAGAGAACTTCCAGACATAAATTGGAGATGGGTCTGTGACTTAGAAAGTGTTTCGTCATTTGGCATCTTTTCCACACTGAAGATGATGGTCAGTAAGTGACAAATTGTCATGCTGACTTTTTCACTGACAGAATTCCGGTCCTCCTATGGGGAGATGACAGCGCAGTGTTGATTTCCATGCTAAGCCCCCTTTTTGTTTTCCCTGCTTGTTAAGGAAAGCTGCACAGATGATCAGAATTCATACCAAAGAGTTGATGGAGGAGGGGGAAGTGGGGAAGTGCAGTTGAGCTAGCGGCATAAAGAAGATTTGCACCAGATCTCCTTCAAGTGCACCTTGTTGTTAGACCTGCCCCGCTGCTTCTGGGTCATGTACGCAGAACCAAACGGCCACCCTCACACTTGCTCTTGGGATTGAACCCGTCATTTCAGCCACAAGTGTCCCTCCGTCTCAGCAAGGGTCTTCCTCTTTTTGTGGACCCTTTATTTTCCCTGACCCGATGCCCTTCTCCAGGGACTGGTCCGTCTTAAGAACATATTTCTGTGAGACTCCATCCCCTAATTCAGCAGCATCAACTCTTCTTTGGTCTTCCTTATTCGTTGTCCAGCTCTTTGCATGCACCTTATAGAGAATCCTCACCGAGGCCTCTCTGCCTTGGGACACTTGGAAGAGATTTTGCAGCAGATTTAGCCAATTTAATACATCAGTTGCTTTCCGGAATGTTTGCTTCTATGGGTGTTGATGGTTGATCCAAGTAAAATGAAAATCCTGAAAGTTTCAACAACCTCAACAAATGAATACAAGACACCCCTTAAAAAGATTGGGCTAAAAATTAAAAATAAATAAAAATACTTGCTGTCCTAATGCACGTGCTTTGTGCCCGGTGAAATTCTGCAGCAAAAAGGCCGTCCGACGTCTCACTTGAGCTCTCATTATTACTGCAGTAAATGGAGAGGCTAAATCTCTCCTTATTAGGTTTGCTATTGTATCTGATTGAAACTTATTTTTCAGCTAGCCAGCACAGGTAAGACACTGGACTCAATTTTCCCTGTGAGGTGGCAAGTGGGACAATGTGAAGGGACGGGCGTAGAACTGTACATGCTAAGTCACCCCAAACTGTATGTGTGCTACTGCTTGCGGGCTGGGTTGAGGGATGCATTCTCTAGTTATTTTAAGAAATCAGATGGGGGAACCGAGTGCAATGATCAACACATAACCACACACACCCCCTGGGGGGGAGCAGAACAACAGAATCCATGGGGAGAGGGAGACAGCGGTCAGTGTGAGATATGAAAGTAATCATTTATAATCTATCAAGGGGTCATGAGGGGCTGGTAGAGAGGGGAACAAGAGGAGCTGATATCAAGGGCTCAATAGAAAGTAAATACCTAAAAAAGAATGATGGCAACTTATGTACAAATATGCCTGATGCAGTCGATGTATGGATTTGTAAGAGCCCCCAATAAAATGATCTTTTATTAATAAAAAAAAAACTAATAGAAAAGCAATCAGACTGAATGAGTGAGTACTCAGGCTGTTGTTCAGAAAGTTGCGTTTGTACTCCACTCATCCTGGAGCCCAGCGTGCTCATTGTCCCCAGCAGGCAGCGCGGCTGACTTCCGGCAGAGCAGGACCAGTGCTTCTACAACTCTCGAGTCCTGGGCTCCGTCAGCCACATGACTGCTCAGCCGGAGTGGGGTCCTGTCCAAGGGCACTTAGTCATGAGATGCCCAGATGTCTTCGTGAGGACTGTGAGGGTGTTTTAAGGTGTTCTC